TAGCCAAACAATTAAAATCACCCCTAGTTTAGGAGTATTTCCAAATGTGGATTAGAACAAATTCGNNNCTGAACATCTGTTTCAAAAGGGAAAAATAATATTAATACCTTATTGATCAAATAAAATATAAGCCGACAGAATCAACCAAGACAATAAAGGGACAACTGTTTTCATCAACCTCACGAAACCTTTGTTTTCCACACACTTTATTGGATGCATATCCTTGGCCACATAAATCGCCACCGCATCAGTTATGTCTTTCCACCGTTTGCTAGTCTTTTCATAAGGAGCCCCTTTATCAAATGCCTGCGTTATGGTGGTTTGTTTTGGTCGTACTTGTGCAGTCGCTGCGGTAGATTGTGCATTCACACGCGGGGGACCTTGCACTCTTACAGACTCTGCAAACTCTTTGTGGTACTTGCGTTTGAGGTGGTCTCTTAAGCCCGACGTGTTGCCATCTGTCGCTTTCACATTTTCTTTTTTGCAAATGTTGCCAAATTACGTTTGTTTGGTCCGTGTCTGTTGTGTAAAATCCAAAATAGTTCTGTACCACAGACGTAGAGTTCTTTGAATCTGACTCTCCGTCCATTATTGCTGTGTGTGCAGGCTGCCAACAGTGTTGTTTCCCTCGCTGCCAAGAAGAAAGGGGGCGGGGACTTTGGGAGCGTGTGATCAACACAACAGACCTTCAAGCAAGCAATGAGGTCATTGCGGTGCGGTCGAGGCGTGTTGTTAGCTTGTAGATCTGCTATTTTTTGGCAAACAAAACCGTCGTACTACAGAAGTATAAATTAAGGTATAGAACTGCAAATCGTAGAATGTGCACTCGCAGCACTCACAGTGAGTGCACATTCTATGACTGAGTGACTGTCTGTATCACGATAGATANTGCACTTCCTGTTTTAGGTAGCACTAGCAGTGATGTAACATCAATACATATGAAAAGGAGAGTAAAACATAACTAAGTTAAACATAAATGAGGAAAAGTCAGTAAACAATTAAAATGTAAACTTTAGACTTGAAGTGCAATCAAAGACTTTAGCATAACTGAACATCTGTTTCAAAAGGGAAATCAATATAAATACCTTGTTGATCAAATAAAATATAAGCCAACAGAATCAACCAAGACAATAAATGAAGTGCAATACTGTCTGAATCCTGACTAGACAGCTTGGTTTTTACTAACCGTTATCAGTATGTTGTTACTCCGGCATCATTTTGAAATGAGTATTACAATTAAATCACGGTAAAATAGGTTAATTTTGTCGTATTTGGTTTCCTCCACAGTATTTATATGGATATAAGCCCCGCCCCCTGTCCAGCGCGTTCTGTTTGAAATCCTACCCTGGTGCACTCGCAGCACTCACATTCGATGACTGAGTGACTCTCTGTATCACGATAGATATGATATCTCGTCTCGACGATATATATATCGTCATATTGCCCACCCCGACTTTCAACCTCTGGTAAAATGTGATATAACACAATTGAATGTGTGTCGCTGCTTTTATTCATTTCAGGGCAGCTTACGTAAACCCGCTGAAGCCAGAAGGTCCAGATGAGGAGAAACTTTTCCAGGAAGGAGAAGGTAATTAAATAACCTGATATTAAGATAACAAATGCTCCTCTCTTCATACCAACATTTGTTGTTATATACTTTGTGTTTTCCAGCGAATAAAGTGCGCCGTGTGGAGCTGAGCACGGCCTCGCTGCTGAAGGTGGCGCCGACAGACGAAGAGAGGAAGATCGTCCACGGTCTATTCCTCAACACCCTCGACACAAAGTAAGATGGAAAAACACTCTCATATAATATTCCTCGTTTATGTTAAAAACGTATGGGATGTGTAAAAAAGGCAGAAACTTTAACGAAAAGTAGGACGTTTCTATACTTTAAAAACATTCTACTTTTCAACTCCATAAGTGTCTGTACTGTAATTGCTGATGATACGTATTTTTAACAACATCCATGTTTAATGCAAGGTTGTGTTTAGGATGTTAGATAGTTATAAAAATTGTTTTGCATGTTACTATAAGATGTATTCTATTAAACATCTTGCTGTGTGTGTTCTGCAGGACGGTCAGTTTCCGCAGCAGACTCCTGCCTCCGAACTCTGTGTGGATGGAAGACGCAAAACTGAAAGGACTGGAGATCTGCCATCCTCAGGTGGACAAATACACAGAAAGCTTTATATCCCTATAGGAAAAAAGTTCTACCAACAAATCCTTTGACAGAGCTTTGTGTATGATTTTGCTTCTCACATTTGATTCAAACACTACAGTACTGTTAATCTTACACCAGAAACATTTACATCAGAAAAGTATTTTATAACAAATATAACATTTTAAATACTTATTATATTGGCCGGATTTCCTCCTATTTTCTCTCATATTTGTCTAATATTCAGTATGATATTCCTATTTTTTCATGTAGCCTATTCAGATTTTTAATAGAGGATTTGGGGAATCTTGAAATCCACCTAAGAAAAATAGATTTAAATATAGTGGTCAGTTTTCCTTATAATTTACCCAGTTTTTAGTTTTGTGTCCTTAATTTATTCTCCGTAATCTTACAAAATATTTTAAAGAGTTTCCACTTCTAAATGTCTGTTTCTGTGTGTGTGTCGAGCAGGAGAGGAATATCTTCAACAGGATTTTTGGAGGTTTTCTGATGAGGAAAGCGTACGAGTTGGGCTGGGCCAACGCCTGCTCCTTTGGGTGAGAGTTTAGAGACTTTTGAGAAAAGAATGTCTAAAAGCAAAATATTTCTTTCCTGCAAGATGTTAATGTGTGTGTGTGTGTGTGCTGCAGAGGATGTCGCCCCAGCCTGATGGCGGTTGATGACATCCTCTTCCAGAAACCCGTGGAGATCGGATCGCTGCTGCTGCTCTCATCTCAGGTCAGAGAATCAGTGGCTTTGAGGAAAACCTATAGATACATTGATCAGTTTCAGATCTGCATTTTAAATCTTTATATTCTGAACTGAATATTTACTTTTGGCCAAAAGACACACATTTCCCTCAGGAGTTGTCTGTAATTACAGTTTATTCTTCTTCCCCCAATTAACCAAAACATTGCAGCTTTAAGTGATTGTTTCTTATCTGTTCTTTGTTTTAGATTAGATTCAAGTGTATTTCTAGACAGTAGTATTCTAAAGGCGTGTATCTGGCTTTAAGATAAGATGAGAACTTTATTTATTGATACCCACAAAGAAAATATAGGTGTTACATCACCGCAATAGATGAGTTATAAAAAGCAAAGGAGCAAGTGATTAAGTGATACAAATGCAGTAAAACAATTGAAACACTGGATAAAAACAAGACAAAAACCCAAATGAACAAATGTATTATAGACAAATCATGTGTAGCGTTGTATTAGGCGATACAAAATATATATACATTTCACTCAAATGTTTTGCAGCATTTATTCATGTGTGTGTGTGTGTGTGTGTGTTCAGGTGTGTTACACACAGGGGAATCACATACAGGTGAGAGTTCATAGCGAGGTGTTCGACCCTCTGACCCGGCAGCACAACACCACCAACGTCTTCCACTTCACCTTCATCTCCGACCGCGAAGTCCCCAACATCATTCCAATGACATACGGAGGTAAGAACAAAAGTAGTAAAGAAACCAGCATATTATTGCATCAATATCAGTATTTTTTTGTACTTTAAGCATCATTTGGTGCTTTTGACTTATACTTGAATTCAATTATGATGCAGGATTTTTATTTAACAGAGAATTGCTACATAACTTTAGTCAAATATCTGAGTACTTGGTCTACCACAGTACTAACCATCACACTTAACCGAATGGAAAATATACTTTATAACCTTTAACTAGAAAAAGACAAGTGTGAGAGTTACAGGAAAAATAAATACCTTTTGAATTCATTATTTTTCTTTCTTTCTGTGAAAAGAACATTTCAAAAAGTGACTAAATTGTCAGATTTTCTGATTGCCTCACGGTCTGAATATTTAATGTTGTTTATTTGTGTGTGTTTTTCTCACAGAATCGATGCTTTACCTGGATGGAAAGAGACACTTTAATCAGACCGTGGATCCCTGAAGGCAACATGTCTGCCACCTGCCTGCCAAAGCTTTTCAGTGTGTGTGTGTGTGTGTGTGTGTGTGGGTGTGTGTGTGTGTGGTCAGTGGAGAAGAATGAATGCACTTAATTTAATATACATCCTTTTTACATCAGGTCTTGTTATCTTTACGCACCTTACACGGAGAAAATGTTTAATTTCTGTGACTATTTGTTCTGTTGGTTTATATTTTTGATGAAAAGAAACCTATACTTTACAACACAGATTTTTTATAAATGCATCTATATTTTATTTACTCATATTTAGAACTTCTGTTCATTTGACAACCAGTCAGCGTATACATCTCTTAAACAGTCAAATGATCAAACGTTTACTTTCCATGTCATAACTCCTTGCAGTATATTGCTTTACAATTATGTTACATTTTAATATTCCACTGTCGCTCATACGCACAAAACTTTTTGTCTTTCCTTTTTTTAAGTTGAATGAGAATGAGCTTTATTATAAATGTGTCAAACTTGCAATAGCAAGTGGTTTATTTACTCAAATGCAATAAATGAATTCGTATTTATCCCGACTTTACGGTTGTCCTGTTTGTCTTTGCTTTCATTATGTTTGATAAAAGTGATTGTTTAGTGTTATTTTTACAAAAAAAATACCTGTTTGGTAAAATGAATCATAAATTAGAACTGTTCAAGACGTTACACATTTTAAATATAACCTTTCAATTAGTCGAAATGAAAAATCCCAAAGGTGTATCTTCTTGTAATCTACATTATTATTAAAACAGTTGGACTAATACATCTTTCTAGATATATTATTCGTTTTTATGTTTCACCTTTTTGGGTTTCTATCAGATTTTGTACTAAATTAAATGTTTAGTTTAATTTCCGGGCAGCTATATAAACCTAGGGGGAACCAATGTTTGAAGCAGCCATTGTGTTCCACCGGACTCGCTTTCTCACGGACACCAACAGGGATTTAGCACAGAGACTAACGTCCGCTGTTATAATCCCTCCAGAGCCGGGTCGTTGTTCAGTAGCATGAAAAACATGTTGACCACTATCTCTAACGCACTTTGTAGGATGACTGGGCGAAATGTGGTGAGTTGTTTTGGGGTTACCTTCAAGCTGTTGGCCGTGTCTGGGACAATGCTAACAGGTAGCTAGCTTTGATTGAGTTTTGCTTGAGACTGACCTTGTGTGAACAGTTAGCATGTGAGCCACGGCGGCTAGTTTGACTTTTGCTATGTTTGCATGTATTAATCAGTCACATAATGTAAATGATGTGTGCTTGCTCAATGTTGAGTGAGTAAAGGGTGATTTTTCTAAAGGGCATGGATACACTGGGGAGTGTACACTCTTTACTCTTATTTATCTTCAGTTAATCTCCATTAACTAAAATAATGTGTCTGTGATTGTGGTGGTTTGCCTTCCTCCAGCAGCTTGTATTGATTGGGATGCACTGATGTGATAAATACTGACTTGAAGCTACATTTAGCTACCACGTGTTAGCAGTGGTGGAAAAATAAGTTCGTTAATGTTTTTAATCTGTTAACCATGCACTTACGCACAAACAGTTACACTAAATGAAACTAATTAAGATATACACAAATCCTCCAAGGGGTCAACGTGGATAAGTAAAAAGCAAGTGAACATTTTTTAATTGGAAGCACAGCCTCACAATGCTTAAGCTATTGTCTTAAAATATTGCTAATCTACATGCTTGTGCTTTTCGATCTATGACTTGGGGAAACTTATTACATCAATGTTGATACAACTTTGCTGAAATGCATTAAAGGATTATACAGAACTACTTAAAAGATTTAGGTTAGAAAAATCCAACTCTGCAATTTAACTAAAACGTGCCTTACACTTTTAGTCAATATAGATCAAATGATAATTTGGTATCAGTGCATCCATATTCATCACTAAGCTTATTCAACAGCATGTTGTTTGTGGTGGTGGTTCAGCCGCAGCAGGGATCCTTCTGTCTTTATTTGGAATATGATTCAAATCTACATTAGATTTGAAAAACGTTGAAGTTGTGACTGAAGGACTTCTGTTGTTTCAGCTCCGTGTTGAAAAGGCTCCTGCTTTCCCTTTCCCGCCGGCTTCCCCTTGCTCTTCATTCACTCTCACACACATTCAACAATCCCAATTTATCTCTTGCTTTTCTCCCTCCTCTCCCCACCTCACCTGAACCCTAGGGAGCCCAAACAGTGTCTGAGGTAAGCAGCTCCACGCACTCCTGATGTTTGTCTCCTACGCCTCCTTTCCTGCAGTGATATTTCTAAAGAGGCTCCTCTAAGGTGCCTCTAAATTAATAAATAACAAAAATGCTGTTAGGAAATAACTATGATTTTTACATTAATGCTCCTTCTGCATATAATTCAATCAGAACTGTATTTTGTTTAGTTGTACTTTGTATCTCTTTTAGTTTAATCAAAAATGTCCATTCCAATCATCAGTCTTGTGTTTTTTTTATTTTCTTAACACAATTATTTCGTAAAAAGTATAATTTATTAATCGGTGGTAGCATGGTTAGACCAGATGATCTTGGTGGAAAGCCGCCACAGGGATATTTCACATTGGCACAACATTTAAAGCAGGAAATCTAACTCTCAATAGTGTTAAAATAAAGTTATGATGCGCAGTTAATCAAAAAGACAACACTGTCCAGAGAATAGTTTCAAGGTGTACAAGAACTTGGTCAGCTTCAAAAACATAAATGTCATTAATTAAGGAACATCTTTAGATGCAACAAATACAATATAGGTGCTTGGTTCTTATGTCCTGTTGGTGAAAATAGCCATACCTACTTTTCAGAATGTATATTGAAATGCAATCCCAATTGTCCAAGAAAAGCTGATCCTGATCTGTGAGTTGTAGCTTTCCCACAATGTTCACTTCAGAGTCTTGGTTCTTATGTCACAGTTACTTTTATACTGAGTAAAAACCATCCAACTTGCTGAAGTAAGTCATGTTTGTAGATTTTTCATTTAACATACATCCTGTGAAAACTGTCGTCTGAGTCTTTGGATAAACTGACCTGCCAACAAAATGCACTTTTCCCTCTTCTTATGTAAAAAAAAAAAAGTACCTCCAATATAAACATTATTGCAAAATCTAAATGATGTGCCAATGAAGCAAATATCAGGTGACGTGTAGACACTGTTGGGCCGCTGCCAGTCTGTGTTTCCTCCTCTAGCTGTCATGGTGTGTGTGTGTGTCTGTAGCCTCTGTAGAGCGGCTGTGCTCTGATTCGTTGGCTCCTGTGCTCCTCAGTTGCTGGTCGACCTGTCAGAGTACGTCAGTGTCACCTCGCCGCCGCCGGCCCCCACGGTGGCTCTGACCCAGAGGCAGCCGCCCAAACCGCCTCCTGTCAGAACTAGAGCGCCGGCCGAGCAGTTAGTTAAAAACCAGGCCGAGACAGACAGACCAGTAAGGACAGAGGCATCCTCCATGTGACTGATCACTAACTTATGGGTTTACAATTCAGATTTAAAGCAAAATAACCTCTTTCAGTCGTCGTGATGCCACCTATTTCTTGGTTCTGGGTCTTTCTAATCTTTGGGTTTTCTTTCTGGGAAATGTGTGAAATCCCTCCCTGAACATGTCCAAATGGGGAACCTTTTTAAGGTTTTAATAACACAGATGCATGTACATTTGTATCATTTTATGGACTACTGTAAAGAAAGTTAAAACTAACAATGCGACTAACAATTGTTTTACAGATTTTATCTCTTTTTCCCATTTGTTGGAACTTTGTTTTTCTTATCTTTTGTTTCCCTTTCTGGGAAATGTATGAAATCAGTAAAAGAATGTGGCAAATAAGGCACCCAAAGTAATCATTTTATGGAGCTGCACTAAAACCAAAGCTGCTACAAACTATTGTTGAATTCCATGTGTTTTTTTTAATTTCTCATTAATTGAAAAAAACATCACAGATGCACGTGTTTTTTATTTATTTTTTAAAAAACATTTTTATTGTTTGATGCCGTCATTTTAAAAAATATATATATTTTGATTGTTTTTTTTAAAGTCCAGATTCCCAACATTTTCAAATGCTGCAGAAAAATCAGCAATTAATTTGAGACTTATTTTTGCTTGATGCTTTATTAATTATCAGCTTTTATATTGACCAACTTATTGATAAACTCTCTGCCCCCACTGTCCTGCTAGTGTTCTCACAACACTTAAATGTTGTTTTCTGAAGTGGCTGCTTAATGGAGGACCTTCTTCTTATACCTTCCCAGAAACAGCCAGTTGTTGCTCAACAATATTAGAAACGTGGCATCCGGCCGCTGTAGCAATGTTAAACCTTTACCAGACCCCTCCCACCCTTCTTTCTTACACTCACCCTGTGATAAGGGGGCAGCTTCCACTCTGTCGGTCTGAAACACCGTTTGTTTTATTTGTGATTCACCATGTGTGAGTTTAATGACTAATATCTGTCCTTTTTTTAATGAGAAGTGTGTTTTTTATGTTCTTCACAGGGTGCCAGAGTCGTGGTGTCCCGCTCCTTCGCTGACTTCACCTCTCAGGCCAGCTTTGACATCAAGGTGGGTCAAAACAAAAATCCGACATCACTGCACTGAAACATTTCTGTACAGCTGTCATATTAATGATCTGTGGGAGTAGGAATGCGAGCTGCACCGGCTGGAGGAGGGCCCCCCCCTGAAGGCGGAGCTGACGCGGGAGCAGGGCCTGCAGTATTACCGCGTCATGCAGACGGTGAGACGCATGGAGCTGAAAGCTGACCAGCTGTACAAACAGAAGATCATCAGAGGCTTCTGCCACCTGTACGACGGACAGGTGAGGACACGCAGAAATATGCACAGCAGCAGGTTTGTGCTCCTCACTCATTATTTGTTTGAGGTAGTGAATGCTGCTATAAGACAAAATGAACATGAGAATCTCATGATTACTGGTATGATAATAGTCTTTTGAACAGCATGTAATATCAGTTGTTTTTATTGCTAATTAGATAACATATTTGATATAAAACCTTTTTTTAATTAGCATCTATACTACAAGGATCTCATTTATTTACTGCATAAAGGTGCAAATGCAGTAAGTTCTCTTTTTGGAACTAACATTTTTTTTTAAGACCCTTTTTAATCTTTCGTAAAAATTGAGACTCCAAAAAAAACTGGACAGTAAAGATTAGTGCATTCATTTACTGCAAAAATAAAGACCCATGCACAACCAGTTTGTTTTGTTTGTATAATAAAGTGCTTGTTTTCTCCTTGCAGGAAGCGTGTGCGGTCGGCATCGAGTCGGGCATCAACCCCTCGGACCACCTGATCACTGCGTACCGTGCTCACGGCTACACGTACACCCGCGGGATCGCCGTCAAAGAGATCCTGGCCGAGCTCACAGGTGAGGGAGACGTTTTCAAATGGACAATTGGACGACATTTTTAACATGCCTGCAGTTTTTTCACACCTCTTCTTTGTTCCTCCTCAGGTCGTAGAGGCGGCGTGGCCAAAGGGAAGGGAGGCTCCATGCACATGTACGCGCCAAATTTCTATGGAGGCAACGGCATTGTGGGAGCACAGGTAAACGCCTAAATGTATGCATTTGGACAGCCAAAATGAAAGGGGGAAAAATGACCTTGGTGATGCTTAAAAGTAAACATTTTATTTGTGTTTGCTGTTATATGTGATCAGCTGTGATGTGTTCAGGTTCCTTTAGGAGCTGGCATTGCTCTGGCCTGCCAGTACAAGGGCAACAACCAGGTGTGTGTTTCTCTGTACGGAGACGGGGCGGCCAACCAGGTAAATATCCTGCCTAATACTTTAAGTATCTTGTAATGAACTCATATACCTTTGCTGAACTCACACCTTTTTTTCCTAATCCACTCAGGGCCAGCTGTATGAGGCTTTCAACATGGCCGCCCTCTGGAAGCTCCCGTGCATCTTCGTCTGTGAGAACAATAAATACGGGATGGGGACGTCCGTGGAGAGGGCTTCAGCGAGCACAGATTACTACAAGAGAGGAGACTACATCCCGGGAATAAGAGTGAGACACATGCATATATAAAAGTTTAACGGGGGGGGGGGGTTCTTAGGCGGTAGCTGCAGTGTGTCTGCGGGCTGTACGCTGCAGCTGGCCTGAATGAACCCAGACTATAACAGGACGAGGCTGAACGTCCGTCCTGGCAGTAACAGGTGTGAGCATCCATTTAGCTGTTTGACGCTCATGTATGATACTGCTTACAAAAACTCTAACATCACACGGTGAAATATTCTAATGCAAGTACAATGCTGGATGCAAAAATGAATTGTCTGTATTAAAACATTATTTTCTGTTGAATTTTCTCGTAGGTGGATGGGATGGATGTCTTGTGTGTCAGAGAATCCACCAAGTTTGCTGCAGACCACTGCAGAGCTGGAAAGGTGAGCTGAGCTTTTCCTGTCATCACTTTTCTGCACCTGAAGTCATAAACACAGGGGAGGAAAACTATTAACATCAGACTGTAAAATGTTTTTTCTTTTCGCTTGCCCCTCAAAGCTTCCTTGCACCCTTAATCTCCTCGTAGCATTTACTTCCTGTAGCTTTTTTTCCCCAACAGAATCGAACTCTTGGAGTACTTTTCCTTGGCTTCTGAGAGAATAAACAATTTATAATGATCACAGAAAATAGAAATGAATTGTGTTATGTTTCAGGGTCCCATTATAATGGAGCTCCAGACCTACCGTTACCATGGACACAGCATGAGTGACCCCGGTGTCAGGTGTGTAAACTTTTTGTCAGCTCATATTCAAATGTCATCAGTCAAATATTAAGGTTCCACAAAATGTTTTTCCATCTTCCTGTTACCAAAGTCTAATAGTAACTGTATGATGTCACATCCTGTAGCTACCGCACCCGTGACGAGATTCAGGAAGTGCGCAGTAAGAGCGACCCCATCACCATGCTGAAGGAGCGCATGCTCACCAACAACATGGCCTCTGTGGAGGAGTTCAAGGTGAACACACACATCTCTCTGCAGACTGTTTTAAAAGCATCAGACACTCAGATTTCACAGGCTGTTCTTTTCTCTTTAAAATTTCATTTAGATATCTTTATATATAATATTTACATGAACAACACAAACCTACAATCAACAAGGAAAATATTTTTCCACATTAAGACATTGCTTTAGACATTTGTTTCAGGATTATTATTTTGTGGTATTTTTCAGACTTAATTCAAATATATAATGTATGAAATAGGGATTTGAACTTTTAATTGTCCCTTCTAAGACAACTATCCTCTCTCGGGATGCCAAAACTAAACCCTGCCATGTGTCTTGCTGCGTGAATTGACACAAGTCCTCTCCCCTATTGTAGGAAATTGACATTGCGATCCGTAAGGAGGTGGAGGAGGCGGCTCTGTATGCGACCTCAGACCCCGAGCCCCCTCTGGAGGAGCTCTGCAACCACATCTTCAGCAACGACGCCCCGCTGGAGGTCCGTGGGACAAACCCCTGGGTCACTCTCAAGTCTGTCAGCTAGACTCACACACCAACATGTTAACCTGTCACCCAGTGCTCAACACTACCCGTAAACTGCACCCTCATGCTGACTTGAAAAAAACATTCAACACCTTTCCTCGATTTTTCGATCATTCCGCACCTTAACGGGACTTTGACCTGAAACCTACCAGTGTTATTTATTTATAGTTTTATATAGATATATTTAAGATGTATTGTATGTCTGAAAGCCCGTTGTGTTGTGCGTGATTTACAGGTTTTGAATTATTCAGATTATGCACATTATACTACGCACAAAACGTAGCTTCCTCTTTCCATCCACATTTTATTAGCACTTTTGTTGTTTTCCAACTGGGATTCTGCTTCATGGGACGCCAATAATCTAGCTGCAACTTTGAGAAAAGCAATCATGAATATTTTTAAGTTTTGGTTTAAGGAATCGATCTCTATTTTCTTTTGACTTTCAGACTTGTTTTAGTTGAAGGTATTTTTAAGAGACTGCAGGAAAGGATTCAGTTTGTTTTGGCAAGCTGGAAACAGTAAAGGTCAAGATAAGCAAAGTGGTAAGTACATTTACTCTAATACTGTCCTTAAGAACGATTATGATATATTTAATCTATCATATAGTTGACTTTATACTGCACTACAGTTCAGAGGGAATTGTGTACTTTTTCTTCGGCTGCATTTATTAGATAGAAATCTTAGTATTCATTACAAATTAAGCTACTAAATATTACCATTACAGTCCAATAAAAGTTCTATAATGGGGCAATAATGATTTACTTTAAATGTGTAGTACTTTAATGTACATTTTGATGTTTAAAATTAAGTAGAATTTTCAATGCAGCACGTTAATTTCTACTCTGGTATTACTACTTTTACTAAAGTAAAACATCCAAGCGCTTTTAGATTTTTGGCGGGATATTGAAAAGTGTTTTTTTTTAGTTGCAGGAATTGACCTTATTTCTGAATACTAAGATGACTGTTGATCAGTGCATTTAGGTTCTAAACTAAATATTTATTAAAGGTTTTATCCAGAGTGACCAGCAACTTCCCTGGAGAACTTTGCAAGAAATCACTACATACCTGTCTCTGAAAGAAATGTATGATATAAAATGTACTTTAGCTTGTTGGTGAAGAACGCTTGGAGAGAATTCTTCCTCCGTAGGAAGATGGATGCACTGCAATATATTATTTTACAGTCTTTTGTTTAGAGACTAATGTGACTGCTACATGTAAAGATGCACTTAAGATTTTAAGGTTATTTGTTTATTCTTACTCTTGGGGAAATCATCTGAAAGGAAAAACGGCAACAACATTTACCAGAATTGAATTTTTCATATACCACTGTCCTTTATTAGAAGTGTTACTGTTACTCAACCTGTACACATACGAAGCTTTACTCTGACTGTGTTGAACTGAAAGACTGTGGCTGTAATAAATGCAAAAACAAAGTATGAATATAAATGTTTGTTTCTGCTGTTTATTAGAAATTCATGGTTTCTTTCAGCCTTTTTTTTTCATGGAGACATTTTATTTTGTTACTCTTACTGCTTATATCTGACGGCTTTAGATACTTTAAAAATTAAGATTGAGCACACAAACAAATGAACAGCTGTGTTATTTTAGCAAATGTAACCTTATAAGGAGATAATATCAGATGAATCGTCTATAAAGAAATCATCATTAGCTAATGGTTCAAAATTAGCCAACTACATCAATAAAATCCTACCTTAATATTATTGCAATAGTTCTAATCTTGTAAAAGTCAGAATGTGACATTTTACACTTATTACTTATTTGTAATCTTTTTCCAGGGAAGGACTAGTACTTATGAGTATTTTTACTTACAAGTACTTTTACTACTACAGTAAATTAACTTCGCTACTACTCGTGACCACTAGATGTCACTACCAGATTGTAAAATCAACTGTTTTTATTTATTCACATTCATGGAAACCTAACGTTGTAAGGATGAAAAGCCTATTAATTTAATGGAAAATTAAAAAAAACTGAACAATCTAAATCTTAAACATTTTGAAAAATGAATTGAACAGAATAATAATTAGGAATACAAATGAGAGCTAAAACAATTTTGTACAAATATTTCAGATATGTACTCAAACAACTGAACTAAATACATTGATAAATATGAATACAAAGGATTTTATAGCTAAAACAAAACATTTTTTAAATAATTAACTTAATCTTAAGAAAAAAAGATGTGATATATATATATATATATATATATATTCAATTCTTATTTAACAAAAACATTGACAGTTTAATGTTTATAATGTGTTTTTCTTGTGTCTTTTCTAATATGACATGTTTAATTGTATTATATCTCAAGGTATATTAAAAAAAAAAATGTATTTCATTATACAATTTTAAAGTTGTATTCTTTTTTTATATAATTTAAAAGTGACTTTACGCCTCCTGACGTGACGCATGTGTGACGCAGCGCTCTGACAGACAGGTAAGCTGACACCGGCCGCCATATTGGGAAGCAACGGAAGTGAGAGAGAAACAGATAGAGATAACTGTGTGTGTAGTGTGTGTGTTTGTGTAAGTGTGTGTTGAGTCAATCAGTTTCCGAAAAAGGGCGTCCTCCTCCTCCTGCTTGCAGCTTTTTCACATGTTTGTCTCCCCGGAGGAAGGGGCGGTCTCTGCTCCGCGGCAGATCCGGAATTAGGAGGTGTTCGCTCGGATCAGCTTGGCTCGGACGTTCGGTGGAGAGCTCCGCGGGCGGTTCGGTACCTCGGCGTCAAAAACATTTAATATAAAGATAACATAAGAGAAAGAAAACGCCGACTGGAGTGGAATTGTCGACCGAGGGAGGGACGAAGAATTGGGACTGAGAAGAGAATTATAAGAGAAGAAGAAGAAAGAAAAGTAGTAGAAGAAGAAGATGCCTCTGGCTCAGTTGGGGGACCCCTGGCAAAAGATGCCTCTGGGGGGGACACAGGGAGAGGTGAGACATTTCTTTAAACACATTGTCACACTGAGAGGTGACTTTAAGCTGGGCTGCAGTCAGGTAGTCCACAGGTAGAGTAAAGGTACACAACAGGATGTCATTTGAAGAACTATAATACTCCTCAAAGTCACTCTATGAGAAGTATTCTGCTCTTAAAAAAGCTAGTCTACAAATTAGACTGAACACACAGAAAAACACCATAATACTACCTAAAGTCGCTATTATATATTTGATCTGCTATAACGCTTCTATTGGGACTCTCAATTAGTTTTAAATAGTAACAAAGCAAGGAGATATTATTTAAAGCAATGTAGTACACCATGTAATCACTATTTGATAGGCATTCTCCTCTTAAAGATAATATATGAATGCTAAATTCTATTAAAAATATACAAAATGCAGCAAGATGTAAATTGAAGCAATGTAATACACCTTCAAGTCACTATTTGACTATTATATTATTGTACTTTTAAGGTGCTATATGGATGCTAAATTAGAATAAAATACTCTATTAAGCACCGTAATTTGCCACTATTCGCGTAGGATTCCTTTTTTTGTTAAAGCTTCGATATGGAATTAAAAATAAAATACACAATTATTAATCTATAAATTGCTATAGGATAAATATTCTGCTAAAGGGTTGCGCAATTCTTTTTCTCAAAAAAGCTCTATTATCCACCTTAGAATCACTATTTTATAATTATTTTACAATACATGTTTCTATAAGTACACCAAATTAGATTGAAATACAATACAAAAGTGCCATAATTCACTTTGAAGACCCTATAAGATAATTATTCTGCTCTTACAGCTCCTATACTGAGAACAAATGTGATTAAAATAGATTTGAAAGCTTCAGTCTGAGCACAGACACATGCTGTCAGACTCCTATATGTGTATTAGATCAGTGTTACACGAGACACACATTCATTAACCTACCATTGTGAATATAAGTGATATCAATGACCTTAAAATGTATTTAGTAATATCATAGCTGTTCTGAAGTGCATTCATGTGTTCATAAAGTCCAAACATGCTTGATTTAGCAATCAGTAGATCAATAAATCAATAAGTTGACACAGGTCACTATTAAGAGTTAGAGACTCGCAATAAGTCACTTAAATATGACTATTATATCCATTTAAGCTCTTTAGATTTAAAACAGCAGAACATACTACAATAACGTTCAGAAGGAATAAAGTACAGGACATGCAAACATTAAAGTTAAGTATGTTTGTTAATAATTGTTTAATGTAAAGGTAGAAATGGCGTTAAGTGCAATAATATGATAATAGCGTCATTATTGGGGAAATGAATACTCCGTAAAAGCACAGAAATGCATTAAAACATAAACTCAAAAAAATTAATTTCTGGAGACACAAGCACCATAACATTTCAAAAATATACCAATGATGTGCTACATTTCTCTCTATATAGTATAGCCATGTTATAGAGATACATTGTGAGCATTAATATGTCAAAATAAGTCCAAAAGTCTTGTTTCTTAAAAGCAACAGAATAATAAACCCAAAGTATTCAATTCACGACCATAAAAAACGAGTTTCTGATCTATAACAATGAAAAAAGATCATTCTTATTGGGTAACACACGTGCTTACTTAACACAAATGAGGCATAACGGGATAAGAAGTCCTTGAAAATGACTCCTGGGTGGGTGTCAGAAAGTCACTATGAGTCACTTTGGGGTTGTTTCCAATGATTTATTTGTGGAGAATAAATCAGGCCACAGCATGCAAATCCTTTGTCATGGTTTGGATTTGAATATTTATCATTTGGTGCCAAACGGTGTGGAATTGTTGTTAAAGAATTTCAAACTGAGACTTCAGATTGAAACAAACAGCTTCAGATTGAGTGTTTTTTTTTTGCTTCCTCCTTTCTTCCTTCTTACACGTTTTTGAATCTTGATAAAGAGCAGGAGGCGGTGCCACTCACGATTCAGGAAGAGCTTACGTGTGTGTGTGTGTGTGTGTGTGTGTCCACTTCCTGTATGAGGTGTCACAAGAGCTGTATGGAGAAATAGTGTGTGTGTGTGTGTGTCTGTCTCTGTAGGCGAATAATCAAACCTGATTCATGCTGAAGAATGCACTGACTCACCCGGCTCCTCTCTTTCTGTCTGACTTCCTAACAAGCTCGTACCTGTGCGCAGCTTTTCCCACGCGGCCTCTTTCAACCTCACTTTCCACCAGACAGAAGCTGACCTTTGACCCCTTCGTTACACCTTGTAGCCTCTCAGCGTGCAGCGATGTGCAGTAATCTGTCACCCTAGTTTTGTTTCTAGGCCAACACAGGACACAAACACACACAAAGGAGAGGGGTGACGTTGTGGAATGAAGTCGAGATGATTTTTGCAGCATTTTGCCCTGAAGACAAGATCATTCAACTCAAAGAGCAGAGAGGGGCTGCACTTTTCTGCTGCTGAAATGCGGAAACAAAGATGAGTGTAGATAAAGATGGCTTCAGCGATGAACCTGCACTCTGCGGGCTTAAAGAAAGTGCTTTCGAAAAGCTGGATGGAAAATGGAACAATTTGATCCTTTTCGGGCTGCAAGTAATGATTATTGTCATGAGTTTTTTGTGTATAAAACGTCAGAAAATAATAGAAACCACAAATCCTAATCTCCCAGAGCGCAAGGTGATGCAAGCAAATTGCTTTTTTTCTCTCCAAATAATAGTTTTAAAGCCCTAAGATATATAATTGTTCTAATACATTTTATGGCATTTACCAATTAATTAATTTGACTATTACAATCATATTTAGAAGCCTTACAGCATCACCCAAGGCAACACATTCAAATTACAATATATGAAACAGTAACAGATAAGTATCAATAAAATATATAAACTAAAATACAGCTTTAAAAAATGAATAGTAAAACAGTTAAAAAGGAAATGAAAAAGGATAGAAAAAACCCATTGAAACTAATGTTGGACAAAGAAAATCATAATTTCTCACATTTGAGAAGGGGGTACCAGAACATGTTTTTTCTTGAGGAGGGTATTGTAAGAAATACATTCGAACAATATGTGTTTTCAAAGAGAGACAATTGTAAAGCTGTCCAATGCTTTCGCGTGGAGTTACACATTTATAATTGTATCAATATGTCAATAAAACAACAAATGCACTCTCAAAATATTTTTCGGCTGTTGCTTGGACAGAACAAATGATTTCTGAATGTCACCTTGAAACCTTTTTTGCACAGTTTGTATTCATCAATCAGACTCTGCAGTCATTTACTTCCTCTCTGCCTCTCCATTATAACCTCTCTGTCACCTTGCTGTCTGCATCTCCCCCTC